GAGAAATATACACTAATTTTTTTTTCTTTTTCTTTTCTTCTCAATCTAATACGCTAAGCGTCAAGCAAAAGAATATCAATCACAGGTCCCTAATCACAATAGCAAGAATATAATAACAACCCAGAATAAGAAATAGACATATCATCAACAGTAAATCATCCAAGACATAAACAAAATGGGTCAAACATACCCTTATTACAAAACGGTCCAACTAAGAATAAAAATACATAGTCCATAATAAAAGGAAATACTGATAAAATAACTAAATTCATCATCAAACTAAAGAAATACTGTAAAAGAGTTCTAATGTTCCACAACTACTACAGAAGAAAACCACTACGCTTCAGTTTGTTCTTCCACTCCATCGGAAGGACACTCCGGCTGGGCATACACCGGCTCTGCTGCATTATCGAACTAGACATGTTCGTCCCCTAAGTCTGACGCACACAAGAGAAAACAGGTGCACATCAGCGTGCATGGCACACGGTAAGATCCCACATAGAAAATGAAGCGGTCGAACAACCCATGCTATGATAGTAATAACAATAATAGGAAGACAAGGGTACATACAACAAGAATTCTACTAAGTCAAAATGTAATCCTATACTAAACATGATAACATACAGCCATATACATACAGTAACCGGGTCGAATACTAACCATCCTAAAACTCACTGGTCCACCTCTCAAATAGGTCCAAGTTCGCATCACCGAAGACTGACTGCTCACCATCCCCTACGCGCATCCAATCCCGCGAAATAGGCGACTAGAGGACTACACGCAAACCGATCTCGGCCTGGTCCAGACTCAGGCAAAGCTCAGGTGACAAAACAGGTCACGGACCCAATGGCGAAAAAGGTCACTTGGTCCAACAAACCAACCCCAGGACGAAACAGGTCACTGGTGCGAGCCTAGAAGTTAAGTCAACAATCACATTCGATCATGCGAACCAAGACTTTCTCATCCCAATTCTCTTCGTTTTTCAACGATCATAATCCCTGTTAAAACTCTGGTTCACCACCTAAATTTAGTCAACACACCCACACATGTCACTAGGTCTGTTCATGACGCACGAGGCCACTAAGTCATGAACTACTAAGCTTCTCAATCACAACAAGGAGATAGTAATAACACTAATTCTATACAATAATAACATGGCATGTCGATCTTCCCACGACCCGTGGAAGTCAAGCACACAAGCTCTGAGCATATCCTCCAAAATCTGAATGGTCCTCTTTGACTGTTCATCGGTCTGGGGATGATAAGTTGTGCTGAAACTGAGACTGATCCCCAGACTCGTCTGCAAACTCTTCCAAAACTCTAAGGTAAATCGGGTATCACGATCCGAAATGATACACACTGGAACTCCGTGCAATCACACGATCTCCTCCATGTATCTCTGAGCAAAATGCTCCGTCGACTGTCCCACTCGGAAAGGAATGAAGTGAGCCGATTTGGTTAATCGATCTACGATCACCCAAGCAGCGTTATTTTGTCTAGTGCTCCGAGGTAAGCCAGTAACGAAGTCCATTGTGACATGCTGCCACTTCTATTCGGGAATAGGCAATGGCTGCAAAAGACCTGCAATGCGCTGATGCTCTGCCTTCACCTGCTGACATACAAGGCACTTAGCCACACTACGAGCCACATCTCTCTTCATACCACGCCACCAAAAATTCAGCTTCAGATCCTTGTACATCTTCGTACCTCCAGGATGAGTAGAGTATGGTGAAATGTGAGCTTCCCGTAATATCTCCTCTCGAACATCTCCTCCTGGTACGCAGATACGACTCCCAAATCGTAAGGATTCGTCCTCATGAACAACAAATTCCGATCGAAGACCAGCCACTGCTAACTCTCTACACTTCTGAAGAAATGAGTCACCTGCTTGTGCAGCCTTGATTCGCTCGACCAGTGTCGATTGAATCTGAAGATTCATCAAAGAAGCAATGACTCCCTGCTGAAGTCTCCACTAAGCCGTGAGGGTCATGATCGCCGACAATCAGCTCAATGCATCTGGTACTACATTGACTTTACCAGGGTGGTACTAAAAATCAATGTCGTAATCTGCCATCAGCTCTAACCATCGGCGTTGCCTCATGTTGAGCTCCTTCTGAGTAAATATGTACTTCAAGTTCTTATGGTCAGTGAACACCTTCACTTGCTCTCCCAACAGATAATGCCTCCAAAGCTTAAGAGAAAAAATCACAGCTGCTAACTCCAAATTGTGGGTAGGATAATTCTGCTCATGCTTCTTCAACTGACGAGAAGTATATGCTACCACATGACCATTCTGCTGAAGAACGCATCCCAATCCTCTACCTGATACGTCACAAAACACCTCAAAGTTCCCACTCTTATCTGGTATCGTCGGGACTGGGGCCGAAATCAGTCGAGACTTTAACTTCTCAAATGCTTGCTCAATGTATTCCCACCCTCACACCTAAATTTTACATTGTCCTCAATGTATTCCCCGGCAACGGTGCCAAAAACTTAATGGAACAAAAACATATACCAAATGTTACAAGTGCACAATCAATCAAGTTATAGTATAAAAAGTTATCGATCCCACGAGGAAGGTGTTTGCAAGAAATAATTAGATTCGGTTCTTATGTTGTGTGCGACAATTAGTGTTGGACCCTAGAGGGGGGTGATTAGGGTCTTATGCTAATCTAATCCCAATAAAATCCTAATTAAAATTATATAGATCAATATGTTCTTGCAAGAGATAGATATGAACAATAAGAACAATAAGACTGATAAGAATATGCACAAATAAAATATGAGACAAGCAAACATATACCTAGGTAAATCCACACGAATGAACTTGAATCTTTAACGCTTGAGTGACGTGTGTTGAAATACCTGAAAAGAGAGCATAAACACAAAACACTAGAAAACTTATTAGTGATAAATTGTTTGCTAAATCATCATCAAAACTATAGCGTCAACAATCTCCCCCTTTTTTATGATGACAAACAATTTTATATGAACCATAAACAGATAACCCACATATAAGCCAACCATAGATAAACCATTCATGAATGATTCCATAAACCATATATGGAATAAGTATATGAGCTATATGTGGATTTTTCTCCCCCTTTGACAACATCAAAAAGGAAAAAATTGAAAAATAGGGGCAATGCTCCCCCTGCTTATGAGCGCAGAGATATAAAAATAAAGTAATATATGCCAAAAGCTCCCCCTGTCAAATAGAATAAATGACACTAAAGAGTATGTAAAGGAGCTAAGCAAACTAAACAATCATAAACAGTACAAAGAACTCATGATAAGCAACTTATTTTCACACACCAAGACATGAATGTTGTTTCAACCATGCATTGATTCATAGAAGAAATAAACTAAACACAATAAGTCACAAAACATCACATAAGCATTAGAAACAACATAGTTTTGCATAAACATAGATTCGTCCACAAGATAGCAAATCATACATGAAAAGTCACATAAAACCATACTGATATAGAGTTATTACACTCAAACTAAAAACATAAATGTCAAGTTTTCTAACTCAAAATGAAACAATACCATCAACATAGAAATCACATAAAACAACTCCAATAAACAGCAAGATCACTCATCATCATCACCGTCATCATCACCACCATCACCATTGCCATCAGAAGATCCTGATCCTTCAGCAGAGCCCTCCTCAGAGTAAGGTAGAAGAGGGATCCGGAATCCCGAGAGACTGACGCTGATAGGAAAGAATAGTCCTAACATCCCTCTGAATAGATGAGACTTGCTTCTGAACACTTGAGTACTGAGTCTCAAGGCGATCCAGACGGTCACAAATATCAGAAGTGGAAGAGGTAGAGGCTCTAGAACGGGAGCAAGAAGATGATGAAGGAGTGGAGTCAATGGACATCTGCATTCTAGAAAGGGAAACTTTATCAAAGAAATCTCTCTTAGATTCAATCTTGGGTTCATTTGTGAGGTCAACATTGAAGTGTTGAAAGATGAGGGTGAGAAAGGAGCCAAAAGGTAGAAACTTGGTATGCTTTGATGCCATGTTATTGACAAAGATAGTTGCCCAATCTACTTTGATTTTGGCAAAAATGACATAAACAGCATTAATCTTATCAGAAACAAAGTGATCAAAACTACCAGTCTTAGGAATCAAGTTTTGAGCAACAATTCTAGCAATGAGTTTAGCAATTGGATTAAGTGAATTGTTGTTCATAGGATAAGAGAATCCGGGTTTAAACATTAGTTGGTTGACAGCAGGATCACTAAGCTCAATAGGCATGAGATCAACGTCACCTGTTGGGATTTCAAGAATCCCCGCAAGTTCGTTGGCAGAAAAGGTTATTGCAACATTTTTAACTGATGAGGTAATGGTCAAACTACCATCAGCAGAGGATGATGTGGACAGATTGGCAACTTGAAAACCTGAATCATCACCAGAAGTTGGTTCGGGTCCACTTTGGGTGGCAGGGCGCTGCTACCAGACGAGTTACTATAGCTACGTGTACCCACCATGGTTCTGAAAGAAAACAAGGATCAAAAGAAAAACTAATGTTAAAATCAAAACAATATAATAAGAAAATAGGAACTGAAACGTAGTTATTAAGATAATAGTATAAGAACTTAATTGTAGTCTTACAGATGAAATATGATATGCATCTAAATTGTCCACTATATTCTTACTGGTGAGGACTCGGGACCGGGACCGGGACCTGCATGGGCCACTACTAAAACCTGTCACGCCCCGCTTCCCAAAATACCCGGGAATCGGAACGTGAACAAGCCCGCGACGTATTAGATTGAGGAGAAATATACACTAATTTTTTTCTTTTCTTCTCAATCTAATACGCTAAGCGTCAAGCAAAAGAATATCAGTCATAGGTCCCCGATCACAATAGCAGGAATATAATAACAACCCAAAATAGGAAATAGACATATCAACAGTAGATCATCCCAGACATAAAAAAATATGGGTCAAACATACCCTTATTACAAAACGGTCCAACTAGGAATAAAAATGCAGTCCATAACAAAAGGAAATACTGATAAAATAACTAAATACATCATCAAACTAAAGAAATACTATAAAAGAGTTCTAATATTCCACAACTACTACAGAAGAAAACCACTACGCTTCAGTTTGTTCTTCCACTCCATCGGAAAGACACTCCGGTTGGGCATACACCGGCTCTGCTACATTATCGAACTAGATCTGTTCGTCCCATAAATCTGACGCACACCAGAGAAAACAGGTGTACGTCAGCGTGCATGGCACACGGCAAGATCCCACATAGAAAATGAAGCGGTCGAACAACCCATGCTATGACAGTAATAACAATAATAGGAAGACAATGGTACATACAACTAGAATTCTACTAAGTCAAAATGTAATCCTATACTAAACATGATAACATACATCCATATTCATACAGTAACCGGGTCGAATACTAATCATCCTAAAACTCACCGGTCCACCTCTCAAATAGATCCAAGTTTGCATCACCGAAGATTGACTATTCACCATCCCCTACGCGCATCCAATCCCACGAAACAGGCGGCTAGAGGACTACACACAATCCGATATCGGCCTGATCCGGACTCGGGCAAAGCTCAGGTGACGAAACAGGTCACGGACCCAAGTGGCGAAACATGTCACTTGGTCCAACAAACCAACCCCAAGACGAAACAGGTCACTGGTGAGAGCATGGAAGTTAAGTCAACAATCACATTCGATCATGCGAACCAAGACTTTCCCATCCCAACTCTCTTCGTTTTTCAACGATCATAATCCCTGTTAAAACTCTGGTTTACCACCTAAATTCAGTCAACACACCCACACATGTTACTAGGTCTGTTCATGACGCACGAAGTCACTAAGTCATGAACTATTAAGGTTCTCAATCACAACAAGGAGATAATAATAACACTAATTCTATACAATAATAACATGGCATGTCGAACATGATTACACAAGTTTGTAAAGCATGAATAAACACTACATTAAAACATGGAATACATGAACAGCCTACCACAGTATGAATGCACACATAAATAGGTTTCATTGATAACTTACTACTAGGTGTCTAAACTTCTCATGTAAGCTAACCGTAATTAAATATCCTCTTATATAATAATGCGGTAAAAAGAAAACTAGAAACTAATGTTGTTTTGCACATGAAATGCCGCCCTCTACGACTATCAGTTATACATTCTTAATTAATAAATATCATTTTTCCAAAATTATTCTTTAAAATTTTTTCTCATTATAACTAATTTAAATAATATATTTATGTAATATATATATTTGTTAATTCTTTTCTACATGAATAGTAATATTTTCCTATTTTATAAATTACCTTTAATTTATTTCTTTTTCGATAATATTTCGTAAATTCTAATTTAAACACCTAACTTGTCATTTCAAATTATTATTCTAAAACAATTCTTTTTCCTCAAAATAAATTCTTTTAAAAATATTATAAATTCTTTAAAATAATTCTGTTATCAAAATAAATTCTTTTAATTTATTATAACTATTCCGAAAATACAATTTATCACATATCTATGATTTAAATCAATATTACTCACCAAACAACTCACGCAATTAATTATAATACAAACTAATTTACACATATAATATATAAATATTGAAACGACAATAAGGAGAGGCGAGATCTTGCCTCGGTGCGTCGAACAAGTCGACGTCAATGGCATGGGTCGGATCGGACGCGTAGGAGCACGTCGTCGGAAGAAACTCCGGCGAGGGGCTATCCGGGCCGACGGGGGTAGTGCGGCGTAGCGGGTCGGGTACACGAGCGACCGACGAGGAGGTGGCAGGGAGCGCAGTGAGGGCTGTCGGTCGAGGAGGAGAGTGCAGACGGGGAAAAGTGGACAGCGGGGGGAAACGGTGGGGGAGGGGGGAAGGCTCGGGATGCGGGATGGGAGGTTGGTGTTAGTGGCGTTGCAGGCGGGCTGCGACTGAAAAGAGGGCTGGTTATCTTAGAGAAGAGTGGTTTGAGAGGGGGCGAGGAAGCGGAGGCGGAGCTGGAGGGAGACTCGGAGAAAGGAAGAAGGGAGGAATTTGAGGGAGGCGAGGCGGATCGGCGCGCTGAGGGCGGCTCACGAGGCGCGAGCTCAAGGCGTCGGAGCTGGCTGGGAGGCAGCGGTTTGTGCTGACGTGCGCAGCAGCCGACGTGTATGGTTGGGCGCTGAGGTAGGTGCGGCGGCGACTTTGAGCTTGGAGAGCGGTCGCGCGAGGAGATGTGCTGGAGTTTGCAGGGGGCGACAGGTGTGTGCGGAGCTGGGCGAGAAGAGAAAGAACTGAAGGAGATGAGAGCAGGCGGCGGTTTATGAAGACATAGTAGTTTTAGTGACAGGGGGTTAATATATATATGAATATATAAAACATATATATATATATATATTATATATATATATATATAATGATATATATATATATATATATATATACACACACCACACACACACGAGTTTGAGCGAAGGGCGAAAGGGGATGTGGGAGCTGGGACGAGAAGAGAGAGAACGAGAGGAAAAATGTAAGAGAGACGGCTGGTTTGAAGTAGGGTAGGGTTTTTGGTGACGATGGTTATATAGTATATATATATAAATATATATATATATAATATTAGTGAGGGTTTGGTATAATTAAATGAAAAATAATTAAAATAAATAATTACGGTACTTAAAAATTAAACTAATAACGGTATAATTATGTACAAAAAAACATACCAGTTGTAATAATACAACCTCTAATACGCAACTGAAGAAATAATATTATAAATTGTACAATTAAACGAGAATAATTAATAAAATATATAATTACTTATTTAAAAAAAACAAATAATTATGGAATAATTATCTACGCGATAAAACGTACCAGTTATGCTAATATGACAGATCATATGCAATAGTAGAAATAATACAACAAATTATACAATAATACGTAAATCATAATACACGAATAATACGTAATAGTAACAATAATACAACGTATTATTTAAAATAATACGTAATAGTACCGATAACACAACATATTAATTCCAGAAATTTTTACCGCACAAAATAAATTTATAAATATTAAAATCATTTAAATAAATATAAAATTTGGACTTTTAATTCATAGAAAATTCTAGAAGGCCGAGAAAAAAAGACAAATACTCTTCTAGAAATAATAATTAAATATTTTAAAATACTAAAAAATTTATTTTAACTAGTATTAAATTTTACGATCATTACAAAGTTGATTTGGAAAAGGTAGATTAGATTGTTGAAAATTGTTTGGTGCATTGAATGGAACAGTGTTTCCTCTACGAAATTGCTAGTTTGAAGCGGCAATGAAATTTTAATTTTCGGAGGGATTTCCTTAATTCCATGCAAAATTGGGGTGATTTCCCCAACCCGGATTGTAAGTTAGAGAAATTAGATCATTTCTAGGACGCTAGAATGCAGTGTTCATCTATTCTAATGATTGGGTGTTTCCTTGAAGAGGACATTCCTCTAAAACATAGGTAGAAGAAAGACAGTTGTGACAACCTGAGATAGAAATTTGATTGATTTGAGCTGGAGCTCGTTCCTTAATTTCTATGACTTCTAACTTTTGCAGAATTGTCCACATCTTTGCTTCTGAGGCAATGTTTGACTCTACGGAAAGACCACTAGATTTAGGTTGGGGAACTGATGCTACTCTGTTATCATAGTGTTCCCACTGCATGGTTTTCTCGGATAGACTCTCTAAAAATTCCCAAGCTTCGTCGGCATTCTTTTTAATGACATCCCCTTGGCACATCGATTCTAAGGAAGTTTTTGAAGAATAATCCAATCTTTCATAGATTATTTGGCATAATCGTCATTTTTCGAAACCATGGTGAAAACATTAGATAAGGTCTTTCAATCTGTCAAAATACTTTAAAAATGGCTCTCCCGGGATAATTTTAAAGTTCATGATGTTGTTTCTTAGCTTAACCGTTTTGTGGATAGGAAAAATTTTCTTTAGAAAACGGTGACATATTCATCCCAAGTTGAGATAGAATTTGTGAGTAAGCTATACAACCATTTTTTGGGATTGTCCTTCAGAGCAAATAGAATAAATCAGAGTATGATCGCATCTTCAGATAGTTCTCTAATTTTAATCATAAGACACATTTACTCAAACTCGAAAATAAATATATAAGCATCTTCAGTTTCATTTCTTAAGAATTTTGGAAGCATGATTATATAATGCGGTCTAAGCTCAAAATTAGTTCCATTTGCTTCAGAGAGCTTAATGCAAGAAGGGATTGCATTCCTAGTTGGATAACACATATCTTGGAGAACAAGTTGATTAGCCATTTCCTCAATTGGTTCAAAACGAATTAAACGATTTGTATTATCCCTAACCCAAGTTCGCATACACCAAAACAAATTCTTTTTTTATAATTTTTTCTAAAAGAAAAATAAGAGTTATAGTTTTTTTTTTACTAAAAGATTATAAGACAAAAAGGAGAAAAAGGAAAACCTAACTAAAACAAATCAAAACTATTTACTAGTGAATCTCCTAACCGAGGCTCAGTTCCTTTATAAATCAGAAAAATTATTTATTAACTGCCAAATTTACCTAATGATTTCTCTGCGACAGTGATCTTTTCTCCTTCGCCAGAATGTTGAAATTACCTCACCGTGATGCACCAAAATAAGAGTGAGAGAGACGTGATGCCAAACTAAGAGCGAGAGGGTGCATTTATGCAAACTAGAGAGATTAAGGATAATTATTTTCAAGAATTTTGAGATCGGTTTGGGGGTTTTAAGAATCGCTCTTAGGACTATGCAGTGATCGCTCTATTTGGGAAAGTGAAATGGATGAGAGAGAGAGAGAGAGAGGAAGAGACCGGTTATATTTGAGGATGAAGGGTAGTTTAGGAATTTTTAATTTATTGGGTAAATACAGTATAAAGAATGAGGGTATTATACATGTTAGGTTTAAAAATAAGTGGGATGAGATATATTGGGTGCATTGATGTTTGGAAAAGTGGGTGGATTTTAAATAGGTGGGGGCAAAATTTTGGGTTAAAAGAGAGAAACCCATATTAATAAATTATATGTTAGCTTCCATTTTATTTTATTTTTGAGAATTTTCACTTGAATTTGGATAAAATATTCGAAGACGGTCAACATAATTGTTATGGTAAAAATCACAAAACAATGTGAAAAACTCAATGCAGAAGTTTGAGGACAAGTTAAAACAGACTTGAACACATTCAAAAATCTTTTCAATAGTAAACAATCGATGGGTATTTTTCTGCCCTGAACAATTACCAAATTTTCAAATAACTAATGAATAAAGCAACCAAACATCCATCTCGATTCACATTGATTAACTAATCGGTTTCTGCACATTTATGTGTAAATTATAAATTGTGTAGACCCTCGAAACTAATGATTTGACATAAACTTGTGTTCTTTCCTTTGAGTCACCACCCTTTGTTCGTCCACGGAAAAAATTCGAAACTAGTAATACGGAAAAGAGAACATGTGAATCCATCAACCAAAGTCATAAACATGCTATAATAACGGGAAATTAACCACAGATTATTATGGTGGCAGTATATACTATTCTAACAATAAATAGATGCAAATAAAAATAATATCATATCCCTTATAATGAATTGATATTCTGGAATCTGAACAATCTTAGAATAACAAAGAAAAAATCACCTTTTTATTATTTCCAAAACCTCCCAATCCGAGAACTTGATTTCATCACCATCGACATCATCCATCATCAAGAGTGTAGCGGAGAAGAACAGAGCCATCCTCCCTAATTGCATGCCAAATTCTCATTAATAATCTAGAATATGATTTAGTTCTTTGTGAGATTGTAGAGAACAGAGAATTTTGGATGATATGATAGATGAGAAATGAGTTGAAGCTGCGCGCAGCGGCGGAGATTTAAAGCCCTAGAGTATAATCGTTCACATTTCCCCACTTCAATCTATACCGTCCATTAGATCCAACGGTGTGCGTCATAGGAATGTGAAGGGCAAACTTGCAAATAAATCTGAACTTCACTTTGATGCCCGTCTTGACTTGTGGGCATGAGTAATGACTCGTCCCTCGACGTCGTACGTAGTAGACCTCTTGTGCACCCGTTTTTTAACTAGGCCTGAATGTCACTTAAATATTATAAAGTTTTTCTATATTGACAATTATATATCTTGACTTAATTTTTGTGGTGAAAGATAGCATATGTTCCTAAAAATTTAGCACGTTAGTGTACTCGATCATAGAAATGTGAAAGTTTTCATCCGAATATGATACTTGCATGCTAATTTTTAGAGTTTTTTAAACTATTAATTATTGTTATATTTGTTATTAAATCTACAAAAAAATCTTTTTAAAACTTATCTTAATTCTTTTTTAAATAACGTTGTGATGCATTTAATGATAAATTTAACAAATATTAATGTTTAGAAAGTTGTAAAATTAACATGCTGGTATAAAAAATTCACGCTTACATGATCGAAAATAGCAAATGTCAGTTTTAAATAACTTATGATATTTATATACCGAAAAATAGCTTTATAGCGTATATGTGACAAAATAGGGAAAGGTTGTGGCATTTAAGTGTTATTTAGCCGTATATTTACCTTAACGTGGAAAAAAAAAATTTGATGGGGGGGTGTCTGTTAGCACCCTAGAGGGAGGGTGAATTGGGTCAATGCTAATTTAATTCTAATTTTATGCTAATTAAAACTTATTAATAAATATATCCTAGCAAGATAGATATTCGATTGAATTAAAGCAAGGATATATATGCAAATGGTAAATATAAACAAGAAACAATATAAACAAATAGTAGACACAAAGAGCAATCCAAACATAATAACATGATCACGGAGTTCGGTCCTTCCAACCTACGTCTCCGCTCCCCACTCCCGGGGAGAATCTACTATCAAGATGGGTTTTCGACGTTTACCCAAAACGTTCACAATCGGTTTTCAACGCTCACCGACAAACGTTACAACACACACAAAGTAAACACACTCTACACCCTCTAAGTGTTGGCCTAGCTCGTGTCCTCTTCCTCAAGTGCTCTGATTTACAACCTCTCTCTAGGCTTTACAATCGACACTACTCCTTTTGGAATCGACCCCGTCTCTAACCAACCACTACTTTCGATGTACAAGTGCAATACAATGTGTAACTCACAATAAGGCTCAAATACAAGATTTGTTCTCTACAATATATGAGAACTCAATGTAAACTCACTCTCATAATATCACAATCCCATAACCCAATATATAATTATGAAATACTAAAAGCTCAAATAGGGATGTGTGTGATAAAATAAGTATAAATAAAATCTAACTCAAAAATAACTAGCAATAAAATAGATATGAAATTCATGAATAAAATGCTAGATAATTGAGTTAGGGAAACTTCTCTATAACCACAAAGAGTAGATGATGAAAGATTGAGGATGAATTTCTCAATTGATAACGTAAGCTTCCTCTTTGTAAACAAACACCAAAACTTGAAAAACAAACTTTTAAACCCTTTAAAACTCTTGTTAAAACACACTTAGATTAATTTTAGAAGTGAAATAGTAAGGGGTATTTATAGGATGAAAAACCAAAGCCCAAAAACCAAGAAAACCCAGTAAAAAGACAAAAATACAAAAATACAAAAGGCTAGAAAAACTAACCGTTGGGCCGTCAGTCGACTGATACTATTCATCAGTTGACTGATGAACTAACCATTACAGGCAAACTGGTAGCTCATCGGTCGACTGAAGACCTCATCAGTCGACTGATGTCTCATCAGTCGACTGATAGATTATCAGTCGTAAAAATAGATAGTTTTGACAATGCTAGGTGTTTTCCTTAGTCGACTGATAGAGACCATCAGCCGACTGATAATAGGTTTTTAGCCCGTTATGAATAGTGGAAACGAATTTCAAACCTGTTTTAAAAATAGCAAATAAATTCTAAAATATATAAACCTATGGGAAAAGTTTATAATTATGAAAATGAACATGTTGGAAAGGGAATTTTTTAATTTGCACTTACCATTTCTGAAAACTCAGAAATATACAAAAACACTAAAATACATGTGTATTAAAACATGTTAATTTTGATATTTTGCTCAAATCAAGTTTTGAAAACTTGTATAATGTTTTTATGGACTTAATAAAATATATTTATAATGTTTGTATAGTCCAAAGTATATTAAAGTGTATTTTGCATTAAAATACCTATGTTTTGAGAAATTTCACAAAAGAATGTGTGTATAAATTTGAGCTTGAAAAATTAGCACACTTTACATACAAACCTATACTAAGTATACTAAGAATGAATCTTATGAAGCTTTAACTTGATTGGTTGACTTGATTTGCATAAGCTTCAATATCAATGTAGCTCATTTTCCTGTGTATACTAAACAACACAAAACATAATACTAAAACCAATATTAGTCGTAAATTATTTGTTAAATTATCATCAAATCAAGAAGGCCAACAGGGTCACACAATAATGTTTTTTGAAGAAAAACATATGGATGTAACACAAATCATGATATCAATGTAGTCTAACAAACTACTCCAATGTCTCAAGCTTGACTCTCCTGAAGAGCACCAACAAAATTTTAATTTCCTAGAATACCAGAGACCATGCATTGGGGATGTGCCTTAGCCACGCCTTAGGGTTTGATATGCATGGTCTGTACGATTGTAAGAAAGTTTCCCTCATCAACCAAAAAAAATGTAGTCTAACAAGAAATTTTAACATAAACACAATACCATTTCATTTCATAACTTCAAACACATTTCACCAAAAACATCTGATAAGCAATGACCATTATCAATGAATGACGTATTACTACAATATTAGTATAAAAATACAATTTTTTTAATAATAATAGCTTAAGAATTTTGTTTAAACTATACTACATGCCGATTAATTTCGAACAAAAATATATCAAAATCACAGTAAAAATAGTAAATCACCGACAACTTAATACGGATTTGAATTATAAATAATTCAATTAAGTATTTTGGGTATAAAAATGATTTTTGAAATGTGATAATTCAAGAGTAAATTGGTGGTAAAACTTTGAGTTTATAAGCTAACAACTTGTATTTGGAAGTGTGTGAGTTAAAAAATAAACGAGGTGAAACTATAATCATACATGCAAAACAACATATAATGTTTGTGATATCGTAATATTAATTAAAAAAGCTAAAAAACTATTGACTTAACCATTTGGTTTAAAAATATACCATATATAATCACTTTGGACAATAATATGTCAGCTTAAAGCAAATTATAACAACATACAAGTATACCAAACTGGTGAAATGCAAAGTGTCATAAAAAAATTCAAAGGACTATTTTTTATCTAACAGTTTTATTGAAAGTGGGTGAGTTTAAAATATCTATGGAAAAAAAACTTCAGGTTTATTAGCCAAAAAACCTTTTGTAAAATGCATGAGTTTAAAAATAAAATGTAGTAAAACTTTGGGTAGAGTATTTTGAGTTCAAAAAGTTTAAAAATAAATGAGAGTAAAATTTGAGCTTATAGGGAAAAAAAGACATTTTTTATTATGGGGAAAATTTTGGGTCTTTAGACAAAAACACTGAAGTCAGGAACAAATCTAGAAAATTTTCCTATGGCACATAATCAATTATGCATATAAAAATATACCATATATAATCACTTTGGACAATAATATATCAGCTTAAAGCAAATTATAACAACATACAATGTATACCAAACTGGTGAAATGCAAAGTGTCATAAAAAAATTCAATGGAGTATTTTTTATCTAACAATTTTATTGAAAGTGGGTGAGTTTAAAATAGCTATGGAAAAAACTTTGGGTTTATTAGCCAAAAAATCTTTTGTAAAATGCATGAGTTTAAAAATAAAATGCAGTAAAACTTTGGCTAGAGTATTTTGAGTTCAAAAGGTTTAAAAATAAATGACAGTAAAACTTTGAGCTTATAGGCAAAAAAAAGTCATTTTTAATAAATGGGGAAAATTTTTGGCTCTCTAGACAAAAATACTGAAGTCAGGAACAGATCCAAAAATGTTTTCCCATAGGAGTACATAATCAATTATGCATAAAACTAATAATTTATATAATAATATAAATTCTAGGAATTAAAAAAGTTTATTTATATAATAGTCACAAAAACATCAACACATAATACTTTTCACTATTTTATTCATATCCATACAAGATTGTTTTCATTTTCACCACAAAAATTAACAAAAAACCACAAAGCTCGCGCAACAATCCTTTATAGTTTTTCTCGACGTGGTCTCATGCTTTGATACCTTTGTACGATTTTCTCATTTTCAATTACAACTTCAATGTGTTGCTTTAGATTCATTAAAGATAGACATTTTCTCCAAGCTACTTTATGAGCATTGTTAGAGGTCGAATATGAATTTGAAATCTCTCTGTTTTGTCTTTCTAGTTTTTGAAGCCATAAGCAATGAAAGCATCTCCGCTGATGCGGCATAAACATGTACTAAAATTGCAAGTGCACAATTTATCAAGTTATAGTATAAAAAATATCGATCCCACGAGGAAGGTGATTTTAAGAGATTATTAGAAATGGTTCTTATGTTTTGTGTGTGACAATTAGGAATAAAGAATAAGTGTTATTTGTGATGAGTGGTTGTTTTGATTTATGTGCAAGAGATAATAAATTGAATTTTAGAAAAGAAAGAATCAAAGAATAAATGAAATCACAAGGCAAGAAAGAAGAATGAATAAAATCAAGAAATAAAACTAAGAATGAAAAGAAAATTTAAGAAAGTCAAGATGGAGGATTCAAAAGAGGTAAGAAATCTAGAATATAATCCACTAACCAATTTCAATTACAAAATATAAACTATTCTCTTTTCATCA